CCCCAAAACCCCAAAACCCCAAAACCCCACTCTAGAAGCGAAGGTTGAAATTGAATGTTGTCACTAAATTTAAACATTGAAACAACCTCATGACTAATGATAAAAGTCCACCATGCTTCAAACAACTGAGCTTAAAAGATTGTGCACTGGGTGGATCATCCTTGAGTATATCATCAATCTTTGAATCTTTGATCTCCAGAATCTTGCTCGCGCTGATTATTGCGCTCAATGAACTCTAAACATAATAAAAAGAATACCTCTGATCTCGGCTTGATCCACTTTCGGAATTGGTTCAACGATTCTGATCTTGGCTACACAATTACAACAATGTTACAGGTGCAGCAGTGGCTGTTGGCAGGATTCTGAGGGGATCCTCCAATGTTCTGATGTAAGTGACTGATGCTGTTAACATTCTTGTCAGCATTCTTTTCAGCATTCTTGTCAGCATTCTTGTCAGCATTCTTGTCAGCATTCTTGTGCAGTGTGTTCTTGCCAAACTCTACTTTGCCATGGTTGCAGTGAATCAGCATTGCATTCTCACAATAAATCGACACTGGCACAACTCTCGCTGGAGTGTCCTCTTGCATGTATCCACTTGACACTTGCTTGTGTTTGTTGTCAGACTCATTGACAGACTCTTGTATCGGAACGGGCTTCGAAAAGTTTTTACGAAGTCGAGGCACTTTAGACTCTTCTTTCGAATGTTTAGAATACTTAGAGTGCTTGTATTCACTTCCAGCAATGCTTTGTCTGGAGTCAAATCGAATACTTTTGTAAGAACGAAAATGAGGTTGGCTATTTCTAGGTTTGTCTGGACCAGAATGAGCATCTCTAAGTTCATAATTTTCATTGAGTGAATTTCTATATACAATGATGGCATTCAGGCAGCACACAAAATTCAGACCCAAGAATGCAACTTACTCAAGAAATCTTTTATTTGCTGAAGTTCCCACTGACTTTACAGATGGACTTGGCTCTTTCAGACTTTAGTCTGGTCGGGTTTATTGGAATAGTTTTATTTACCCAGACTTGACTTCTTGACCCTAACGATATTTACATTTAGGTTGGCTCCATTTTTGTTGCTACTTTTTGGAGAGTTACCAAAATTTTTCTGAGAATATTTCTAAACATCACACAAAACTATACAACTCGGTGGCTATCGACTGCTTTCTTGCTTTTAACATCCACAAGTCCAGCTATAAAGTTTATCCTATTTTTGGGTAGAACTTACCTGGATCATAAGACTTAGCTCCTCTAAAGTTGAAGCTTTCTAAAATAAGTTTGAAACATACTCTTATTTTGGTCAGAAATCTTTCTCATCGGAGATGGTTTTCCTGTACATTTGAAAATACCAAGAGTCTTCTTATTACTCTTGCTATTTTTAGCATGTTTTCTCTTTGCCACCTCTCTGGATCCGTTCCTAGGGAATTTTGGGTGGGAGATCTACATCAATGATAGTCTAAGGGTTGAATGTTAAAGAATTGATACAATAGAGATATTCCTCAACTGGATCAATTCGGATATGATTAAGAAAAACTTGGTGTAACTGGAAATTTTTGAAAGTAAATACAGACTTGAGCAAATAAGTATGCATATCAATTTATTTTCGAGAAAATAATAGATAAAAACTATAAAACTGATTGATGCTTCTAATATTTCCTGGCAAAAAGAAGGTATTAGAAAGGCTGCTGAGGTATTAGAAGGTAGAATCAAAGTGTTCTGATCCTTTTATATTGGATACCCTCTCATAACTTCTATTTTAAAATATATTCAGCATGATTTAAAATTTTAATTTCCATGTAAAGACATCTATTCCTGCCTTGTCTAGTTTGCCAAAGGATTAACCTATTTCCCCAATCCCTTCTTGCTTGTATCCAGGTATTTTTTCTCACATCACCATATAAAGCCTTAAAGGAGGCAATTAAGAGTATTGGGACCCATCATTCTCCCTAAAAATTCTCCTTGAAGGTGTTGATGCTACCATTGGTTAGTACACATCAAGTGACAGTCTGCCAATACGGATGTGAAACTGCCAATAAGCTATTTCCCAAGTTCTTGGAGCTTACCTTTTTGACGAATTCTATAAAAGCTTACACAATCCTGTTATGACAGTTGCGACTTACTCCTACATTTCAGATTCTGAGGCTGACTCTTTATTTTATCGGGGTTATTTCATAAGTCATTATCTAAGTTTAGCGCGTCAAGATCACTGACGTCATTAGGAGCCAGATTCTGGTTTATGTGTAATGGCAAGATTGGAGTTTCGAATGATTTATACACAGAAGATCGTCCATCGTATGAACGACTGCTTGGAAATGGTAGAGACTCTTGGCTTAAGTTATCGTATTCGATATGTATTTTATCTTCCTGTTTATTTGATATACTTTTTACCAGATCTCTCTGCCTCAAGGGCTAGGGATAAATAGTCGTCAGGGTAATACACTTTGAATTCTTCATCTGCAACTCGTTCCAGACTCCATCCGAAAGGCAGAGGAACTTCTCAATGGTCAGGTTTTTCTACATATGTTGTACCAAGATGCTCAAAGTACCTCTTACGCCAATGTATTCGGAACTGAGCTGAGTGCTCTACCAATCTGAGGTAATACTTCATCATATCAACATAAGCCCTTCGTTCAAACGAATACTGGATCCAATAACAGTCTTCTCACACTCTAGAAGCCCCTGCGTAGCCTCCGCTCCCTTTTATAGAATGTGCTTTCTGCATCATTGCTTCAAAATTACCAACTTGAACACAAAATGCGATGTAAAACAAATTTTCAAGAAATCCATTTGTCTCAAATTCAGGCAGCATCTTATAATACAACTCTGAGCTAAACAGTAACGATTAGGCAAGAATCCAACTAAGGGCCAGCCCCGGGCTGGTGAATGTGAAATTTTCGCTGCTTTTATTCCTAAAACTAATGAATACCTTAAGTCCCTGACTGCCTTGGCAACATCGACTGGAGTCTTAGTGTCCAGGTCGACTTTCTTTATAAAGACCTAACCAGATTATCTATCAATACATACCTCATCTCAACCCCTCTCTTCATTCCTGGTATCTCTCTTGCAGCCATTCCTTCCTATAGTATTTTCCATCACTGTTCTCCAGTTCAATTCAATATTTTATAAATTTTTAGGGGTTTTGGGGTTTTGGGGTTTTGGGGTTTTGGGG